AGCCGAAACAGCAGGACCACAGTCACCTGAGTGGGGAGCGTCACTGGCCTAGTCTTCGCTACTGGCATTGGTGATGCTTCATGCAAGCTTCAATTCTGTTGCCTTTTCAGCTGACTTGACTGCTGTGAATTTGGTGCGACAGCGAACCAGGTCGGGCCCAGATCATCCGGAGCTTCTTTCGAGCTGGAGGGCAGCATACTGAGAGTACCCGGAATACTGTATCCCTGATATCCCTGAACCAGCTGACTGTTCGTCTGACTGTCGTATGCCCTGCAGTGTCAATGCTACAACAGTCGAAGGCATCTGTTCCTTGATGGAACGCATAGTGTTCAGAGTAAGGTAACATCCGCACACAGTGCTAGCTGTTCTCGTTTTGCAGCACCACGGCTGCATCAATGCGCCGTGGACCACGGCTTCCACCACGGCGACTGGCCGCCGCACCGAAGTGTGGAGGACTCAGAGAAGCTGAGCCGCTCCGGCGGGTGCTGTCGTGTTCTGTCAGGTGGAAAGGCGGCCAAGGCTTGCTCGGGACCCGGTCCAGGTGCCTTGGCCTTGCCCCGCAGTGCTCCTGAACAGAGCCGATCTGCAACTGACAGCGTCGGACGGCTGCAGGCGCTTTCGACCTCCGGGGCAGAGGCGTACCAGTAGCACAGAGTGCACAGCTCCACAGCACATGCAACACCTTTGGTCTTGTCGGGTCTGGATGCCGTTACCTTTTGCAGCTGAAAGTCTGTTCTTTGTCTTGCTCGCTGACGCCGCCACAATGGAGCTGTGACACAAAGCCTTCACGAAAAAAATTGACCGCCCCTTTTCTTAATCCTGGAACTGTGAGACAGCAGCCACCGCATCACACGGCAGGAGAGGTAGCACGTTTGCACTCAAAGCAAACCATCGAAGGTGGACTGAGCGGCATGGCATAACCACACTAAGACAAGCCACCACATCCAGCCGCCAAACCATCGCAGCCTAGCGAAGTTTCTATATGTGTGGCTTTTAGGTGCTGCCCTCAGACGCATCGTTGCAAAGTTGTCCCGAGACACGGACTTCAAATGGCCGCAGTTCGACATTGCAGTATCGTGGAGTGAGGCCTCACGATGTGATGGGGCAGGGGCGGCAACAAAGGCAAACCCGAAAGTGTCCTTTGACTGTCGTTTACACAGCAGATGAATTGCAGAGGCCGCAATCGGAAGCAGACTCTGGGGCCGTCGGCCCAGCTTCAGGACTCGATTTGTAGTACGAGGCGGCGTTGTCGGCAGAAAGAGCAGCTTGCTGCTGAACATTAGAGTTAGTGCTCAATGGTGCTGGTCCCTTAAGGTAGGTGGCAAGTCCATGCGCGGCACGCAGGCCAGAGCGCAGTGCCGCGCTCCAGAATTCAGGAGGTTCGTGCTGGCCAGGCACAGCACAAGCCGCAACAGCGCAGCAATGCCACGGCAGGCCCTGGGTCAGGGAAGTGCAAAATTAACGGAAGCCTAACGGATCTCGTCCGGCAAGGCCACGGCACCCTTGGTCGGACTGGAGCTGCCGTCCTCCGAGAGGATCGGAACCCGGCCAGGCAGGAACCGTTCTTGTGGAAGCTCTGCAACTTCGGCATGAGCCTTTTACGCCTAGCCCCATGCTTCCCACAAGAGGGCACCATGTCCTTGGAGAAAAACATCAAATCTGCCAAGTTCGGCTCAGCGCCACTTCGCGACCATGCCGGCAGCGGGCAAGGTCACGGAGCAAAGCATGTTTTTGCCTGCCATCTGCTTTTGGCCACTGTGCTGGCCTCCTGTGAGACTGAAGTGCAAGACTGGCAAGCCAGCCACGGGAGGCCAGCGGAGCTCGAATGCACACCCCGCCAACTCAGGCGACGGCTAAGTGGCAGGGTCACTTCGCCGCACGCTGCTTGTGAGTTTCGAGCTTGAAGCCATGTTTCCGAACGCCAGGCCGCAGGTGCAGCAGCCACCATGCGCCCTGGGGGAAGGCTTGTGCGGCTTGCTGTGGCTTGCAGCCTTACATAGATGCTTCAAGTTGGTGGAACACTGCACACAAGAAGCATGTTGCGGCATTCGATCCTCGAACAGGAGGGATGCAGAATTGGAGGGAGAAGAGAAGGCTCATCAGGGCTGCGGCGCTTTCTAGATTCTAGTTTGCGCATTCTCGCACACACGCCATGTTATCTCATAGAGACTACACGTCAAAACAGAAGGAGCCGCCCTCCGAGTTGCCTGATCTAGCCCATCAGTTGAGACAGCGGCTGCGATGGGCGATAGTTTTCGATTCGAAACCCAGGGCCTCTCCGTAAACAAACACGGAGGTCAGGCTTGAGGAACTTGTGCTGAGCACCAAGCCGAGATCCGCAATAGCTGATTTCACATCAGGTGAGCACCCAGGACTGTTGCTGAGTTGTGAGGTCATGTATGTCATATGAAGTGACAAGGCGGACAACACGGTGCGTCGACAGCCACGGGAAGTACCTCGCTGGTACAGCGCAGCTCGGCGTTAGCAGCTTCATTCGTATTTCTGCGGTCGGGCACGTTTCAGGTACCCGACATTGGGATAGAAATGTAGGGCCCATCGGGCTTGTAGTATGCTTTACCGATGGGTTGGGGTACAATGTACCTTTGCGGGCGTATGTGCCTTGAATGCGTCGAGTCCAGTAGTATGTGAGAAACCTGATGTCAGCCGCAAGGTTTGACTGATCGAGTATTGGATATCGAATAATCAAGAACGAGTCATCACGGCTTTTGTTCTCATCTGTTTTCGTACGAAAGCATTATGCGTGCTGATGTGAGTCATTGGAGCGATCACCGCTCTTGGGTGATAGGACTAATCGGACGATCGACATTCACGTTTGCTCGATGCCAAACGAAGGATTGAAGCTTCTAGTTCTGTGGCTTCACATCGTCTCAGGTTCAAAGCCAAGGAGCCTTGTCACAGCTTGCCGCCGTCGAAGTTGAGGCGTGCGCATGTTCTCTGTTTCCACTATGGTTGGCACTGCTGCCGGGATGTTCCTTCAAAGCGGCTGAAATCCGTGTGACCGTCTGAGTAACAGAACTGGAGGTTCATTCCGTGCAGCTTCGCGACATGCTCAGAACAGGTTTCTGAGTTTCGTTCCATGTCGTTGGCACGCGTGACCTCTCCTCATCATGCTGTGCTGCTCAGGTGTGGAGGAACTAGCTGCCATGCCCTTGGACAGTGAGGAACTGTCGGTTTGCACATATTACATTCTGTAATCACCCGGTGCTTGTTCTATGTTGGTTACCCCACTGCATCCCCCAAAAAACATGGAAGGTCTCTGAGGCATCCTTGACGCGGACTGTGGCTGTTCTGCCAGGATGCAAAGGTCAGTTAGCAGTTCTGCATCATCAGCGAACTGTGTTGAGCCTCGCACGGTTGCAAAACTAGCGGATATAGCAGGACAGGACCTGCAGACAATTCCTGTTACGGTTGCGCCATCGGTCCCTGTCCAATGGCTCGGCACCTGGCGCAAGCTGCGCTGCGAGCGCTGCGAGGCGAGACTGGAAGTCCTTGTCCCAGGGCATTAGATTGCCCAAACAGTCCTCGGAGTCCTCGTCTTGGTGCTATGTGGTGCTCCAACTTCGTGAGAGGCCCGGGACTTCGGCATTCCTCGGTGGCTACCGCGTGGCCTCTGGAGGCCGCAGTTTCACGCTGTCCGCAGCCAGAGCACTGAACGAGGGGGGAGCAGATGGTAGAGGTTAAGCCCTAGCAGCCCTCGCAGGTCCGGCTTGCTCGTTCTCCGGCAAGGGAATCAGAAACTTCGACTAGAGACCGTGAAACTATCTAAAGATTGAAATATCCAGCAAGATGTCCTTCGGGATCTTGCTTGAGCACCTGTGCCTTGAAACATATCTGTGGCTTCCGACCGCCTAAAATCTTGTTCGCATGTTGAACGCCTTGTTGAGTGGCAGAAGCAATCAGGCGCAAGTGCCTGAACATGCTGCCAGTGTCAAGAGTGTCCATGCGCTTGCTGGCCACTGCGCCGGCTCGACTCTGTGCAGACAAAGACAGATCTATGTCAGCAGCCGCACGATTGTTCAGGTAGACGCAAGCATTTCTGAAACTTGGCAGGCTTGGCATGGATTTCCAGTTTAGGATGACTCGTTGTAAAGGCTGTGCGCGTGAAGATGCAAATCTGCAGATTGCGTAACAGTTTGAAATTTTGCCAGAGAGTACGCCGTCTTGGTGGTCTCCCAGTTTCTTCCGGTAAGTGACATCATCATTGTTTTAACTATTTTTAAATATTTTTAACTAGTAACTATGTGCTTTCAGTCCCTGGCAGAGAATTTAGGATGGATCCATTCTGGGTGCCAGCACCTCGCTGGGAAGCGCGTCTTCGTATCCTGGCTAGCCATAGTTCTCACATATGTTCGCATACTTTCTTAGCCGACTACCCACAGGCATGGTGGCATGAGGTCAGCGTGAGACAACGTTCTGTTGCTGCTAGAAAGTAGAGGCGCAAATCGAGGCAGCCAGGCTCCAGTGTACTCAGCGTCTGTGATGCTTCGCCATTTGCGGTTTGTGAGACAAGATGGCAGACAGCTGTGGCAAAAAACACAGGACGGCGGCCATCAAGTCTGACATCAGTCCAAGTACGGAGCACTTGACGGGAGAACTCGCCGAGTTCGCAGGGCAGGACTCTCAGACAAGTCCCATCAGGAATCGATACAGGTAGCAGGTAGCAGCACCGCCGCCTGTAATAGTTTACACAAGATCGCTGTTTTCCCAATGTGTGCATGATCCTACAAGTATCGGCATCCTCGCATGCATGAGAGCTGCTGCAAACGAGAATCGGTAAATCACTCTTTTGGTTCTTCCTCTAGCTTCTACGTCTTTCGCTGTCGTATCAGGCGACAGCCGACACCGCTCCGCCTGACCGAGATCTTGGCGATTCGGCAAAAGTACCTCTTGAGAGTCGGGGCTTAGAACGAGCATGTCGCTACCCCCGCACAAGCCCCTGCGTGTTTTCTGATCTTGCGGTTCGTGTCTGTGTTGAGGCGATGAAGACACCAGATGGCCTCACCTCCACGCTGCAGGACCCAGCCTGAGCTGTTGCTAGCACCGTCCGCGCTTTTTTGGGCTGAGCCCTGGCATAGCTGTGGCAAAGCGATGTGCTCTCGCGGACGTTTCGGACAGGAGGAGCTTCCAATCCGGCTGGCCAACCGCATCCTGTCGCCAAGTTGGCAGCGTAGCAGCCTGCATCAGCCCTGGCATTCGCACTGCCTATTGTATAAAATAAATGCCCATAGTCCCGAGAAGCAATGCACACAAGAGATTGAGTGATTTCGCAATGCCAAGATTCGAGAATCCTACAGCCACGAACACATGTCTAGAGACCGGGCGGACCCCGGACCGGATGCAAGGCATCGCACACCTCGACATGCTTCCAGATTTGAAGGCCGCTTGGCAAAGTGAAGCAGCAAGCAGTATTACTACCAAGCAAGCTCTCACTTGTCAACTTGCTTACCTGCCTGGTCGTGCCTTTCGCGACGAGGAGGCACCAGAAATCTGCAGCGTGCGGGATGACTTTGCGCAGGCCTTCACTGAAGTGAGGGCCGCGCGGCCAGATGAATTTCCCAGCGTTATCAGGAGGTTCAAAAAGCGAAACTTGGACGGAAGGAGTGCATAAGCTGCATAAGTGACCTCAGGTGTTCGAAGGTTCTCGAAGACCATCCATATCGATTCCGGTCAGGAAACGAGCACCATGCGCTTCGACTCACCCTTGGGATGAAGCAGTGGGGCGCTGCTTGGCTTGACTTGCATGATTCGCTTCGTTCCTCAAGAAGACTACCTGGAGCCTGACATACCTAGCAAATCTGACATTTCATGGAAAAGCTACTCGCGGCTCTCAAATTCCTTTCAAATTTCCAACACTGACGTCACCTGGACCGGGTCTCATTTCTGAGTTTCAGCTGGGTGAAGAGCGAACCGCAGGATTTGCAGCGGCGGAAAGGCCAACCGTATGACGACACGCGGGCGTTCATTGACAACTTCTTGAACCGCTTGTTTCTTTCCCGCATCGGCATGGAGACGCTCACCTCCCAATTCCTGGCCTTGTCGCGAGCTCCGGATGGTGCCTCTTCCAACAAGAACATGTTATGTTGAGAGCGGCTCCATGTAGTTTCGTTTCTGGGCGTGCTCCTAGCTGCCTCTTCTGCCAGGAATTGTGGATCTCAATTGCGACCCCTGCCAAGTATGCGCGAGTGCCGCCAAGCAGGTGACAGGAGTAGTGTCCTGGCCGTACTCACAGGCACGTTTTACTGGCATCACTGCATGCATGACCTACTTAGAGCACATGTAGAGCATCTTGGAAAGCTTCCAGATCAGCATGGCATGCATGTGAGAATCACATCTACAGTCTCTGGACTCTGGAAGTCTTCCGACCGAGGCAAGCGAATACCTGAGGACACGACACGGCCGCACGCAGACAGATGTAGAGTGAATGCAGCTGCATGTGTTTCGATCCGGCAAGCCTGGAAACCTATGAGAGCTCATTGCAGGACGGTCCCCAGAATAGAGATCTCTTTCCACGGCAACGAGCGTGCACGCACACTTCCATTGATCCCACAGTATCTTCTCTACATCGTCGTCGCTCGGCCGAGACGAAGAGGAGCCCCGAGCCCCCCAATTGGAGCCTAGAGCCAGATTCCGATTTTGGCTTTTTGAGGCCGAGCTATTGAAGAACAGTCTGCGTGCAGTTGGCGAGCCTCAGATTATCTTCTTAGCATGGTGGGGTTTGCAACAGAAATGAGCCACAGCTGATATGATTGCGGTCATGTCTTCGGTCGGGGTTCTTCTCCTAGTCCTGGGGCCCAGACCCAGAGTTCTGCAAGGCGGACAGGATGCTTCTTTGCAGAAAAGTATAAGTCCTCGAACCGATTGTTTGTCATTGCTGTTTCTGATATACCAGCTGGTTGGTGAGAATCTGAAGCGGCCTTGCTTCAGCCTTGCTGAAAGCACCCCAGCTTTTTTGGGGAATCCCACAGAAGAGCGTAGTAGCACCGCCAAGGGCTGGCCCCTCCCTTGTGTAAACCAGGGCTCTGCACACACCAGACTTTCGCTTCCGCTTCGAACGAGATGAAGTCGTTTTGGGCCTTTCAGGGCTTCTCTCTCACGCACCAACGACCAGCCTGCCACGCGAAGCAGGCAGTGGACTACTGCATAAAAGTACAGTTTAATGCGGCTCGCTGCCGCCAAAGCCATCGCGAGGAGAGAAAACAAAGGGGAGGGAAGCAGGGCAGGGGGAGGGAGGGGTAACTGGAAGGGTAGGGGAGGGGCAGGGCGGGGAAAGGTGGCACGAGGCCAGGGCTGGAGGATTTGGTTGGGGGTCCGAGGATAGGTGGCAGTCCTCTCCACTGCCTCCACCCCCGCAACCCCACTCGTTCGGGCCGCACCCTCACCCCTGTACCCCCTGTCGCTACCTCTCCCCCCCACCCCCCAGCCCCACGCTACTTCTTTTTGCCCACTCTCCCACCCTTTCCACTTCTGCTAACTGTCGGCCACTGTCGGCCATTCAGGGCCATGGAAATTGCTGAAGAGCAAGACAGCATGATGTTCAGGGTACATTGCTCACTGTCAGTGCAGCTGCTCAGGAACAATTTGAGGCCAACCCGAATGGTCGAACTGAGCCAGAGTCTTTGACAGCAACTACGCGCTGACAGTGCAGGTGTAATTGCTGCATGTCTCAAACTTGCAACCCTGCCTCGAAGGGAGCACGTGCGAAGGGGTGCCTGAGCAGGTGCTAAAGCCGTGGCATGCATTTTGCAGTGATACACTTTCTAGGAGCCGGTTCAGATCCGTGTAGCAAGCGACGAGTCCCAGGTCGCGCCCGCTTTGTTACAGATCTGCTTGATCGGTTGCATTTTGTATCTTCGTGTATCTTCGGACGTGTAGAATCTAGATCTCATTTGTGGCAGACCTTCTGCACTGCTGATTCACTGCCAGGTTGCGTTGCTGGTGATGGATCGGGGTGCTCGCCCAAGGATGGCTTCAGTGTGTTCAAGACTATATTTAAAACGCGAACTCCATGACTGTCCAAGACAAACATGCCTGCGACGTCGCTACAGTGCTACAGCAAGACAAAACTCAAAGGCTGAGTGCACTCCTACGTAGGCAGCGCAGACTGGAACAGTGCCTGTGTTGTTTTGGACTCGGCTATGCGTGCCACATCCAATCAGATTCGGTCTTCACTGAACGTATGCTCCAACAATCTCCAACAGTCCTCGACGTCTGCACCATCATGTCAGAACGTACATGGCATGTCAGCCGTAGCAGCTTACCGGGAAAACGAAGACATAATTACATATGATACTCTCTCATATCATATTATGCATATGATATATGCATATATATATATATATATGTATGTATGTATCTGCTCCCCCTCAAACACAACGTGGACGCTGCGACAACAACGCGTTTGGCTGCGACGGCAAGCCCATCATGCCAGTGTTGCTCTTGGACAGTCCAATCTCACATGGGCATATGTGGCATGGAAGACAGGAGCTCCTTTTCCAGATGTAGCTGTTCGCGGGGTTGCCAAAGTGCTTGGCAAAGTTTTTCGCTGAAACATGCCATCCGAGAGCTCCAGACTCTCAAACCCGCTTTTCGCCGCTCCCTGTGCCAAGACCGCAAAGCCTACCTCTCAGAGGTTGCCAACCAGGCCTGCGCTAGCAATACAAGGGATGTTGTCGCCAAGCTACGGCCTCTCATAGGTCCGCCGAGACGGCGGCAGAAGGGGCCCGCACCCTTGCCTGCTGTGCGCCTAGAGTCGGGTGCCTTAGCCGCAACTCCTAAGGATGCCACAGCGCGTTGGCTTCGTCACTTCAGTGCTATCGAGCATGGTGGTCCGATAGAGCCTGAGGAACTTATCCAACGTTGTCGCCACAGGCAGTCCCAAGCAGTCCTCGCCGATATCGAGGTGCCAACAAGCGAGCTGCCCACCAGGGCAGACTTAGAGGCTGCTATGCGGGCCGCCAAGTCTGACAGAGCAGCAGGTAACGACATTCTTCCTGCAGAGCTGTGGAAACTCCAAGCACCATCGCTCTCCCGTGTCATGTACCCTCTCTTGCTTAAGATAGCGTTCCGCCTCGAGGAACCAATTCAGCTGAAGGGAGGGTCCATGTTTCATATTTGGAAAAACAAGGGCCCGCAAGACGATTGTGCCAGCTACAGAGGTATCCTTGTCTCGAGTGCGTCCAGCAAATGCTTGCACGGCGCTTTTAGGACCAGATGCAGTACATGGTTTGATGCGCTGGCCACCCCCCTACAAATTGGGGGACGCAGAGGCTTTCCGGTGCAGATTGCCGCGCATGCTGCACGCGCATTTCAGTGCGCAGCACTTGACAAGGGACACAGCGTTGCCATTGTTTTCCTCGACCTACGCGAGGCGTTCCATAAAGTTGCGCGACCACTTGTGCATGGCGGCGACCTCAGCGATGAGCACATCGCAAAAGTCTTGGTTGCCTTTCAGGTACCCCCTTCCGGGTTTGCGTCGCTCAGGGAATATGTCCGCGACACTGCTTTGGTCAGGGATGCCGGAGCATCGGAGTGGTCCGCTGCCGTCCTGCGTGAGTTCCATACTGACACTTGGTTCAGTATACATGACCAGCTAGCTGCGGTCTCTGCTGGCACAAGGCCCGGCGATTCGTTAGCTGACGTCATCTTCTCATTCCTCTTCTCCGTTGTGCTACGCAGGGTGCGTGAAGCTATCCTTGCCAGTGACATCTCCGTGCAGCTGCCGTGGCACCCGTCATGGGCCAGCACACTTGAGTCCACTTCGTCTCCAGTTGAAGCACTTGCACCGCTTGACGTCTCATGGATGGACGACCTTGCGCTCCTGATCTGGGAGGACTGCCCGCACAAACTCGTAGCCAGTGTTAAGCAGTCCGCCGAAATTCTCCTTGATGAGTGTGTCAAGGCACTGCTTTACCCCAACCTTGACCCTGGAAAAACTGAAGCTGTCGTTTCTCTAAGGGCTCAAGGAAGCTCCGAGCTCAGCTCTTCCGTTCCACCGAAGCACTGCTTGGTCTGCAGCCTCAGGTCCATCCTGTTGCTTCCCTTCGCCTTGTACCTAAGTATAGACACTTAGGAGGCATCATTCACTGGAAGGGTTCTCTTCGTCTCGAGCTTGGCTCACGTCTGGGGCAGGCTTGGAGTGCGTTTCGCAAGCATCGTCGAGCCATTTTTGCGTCCCCTACTGTCACGCACCGAGAGAAAGCCTTGCTGTTCCAGTCCCTCGTTGCGTCGACCCTTTTCTTCGGTGCCGGGTCTACAGAGAGGGAAAAGACCTCGAAGTTTTGTCAGGCGCACAGCTCGCGATGGCAAGGCAAATGCTGCGACCCACATTCGATCGTGAGGCAGCACTCCATTTAGGAGCTAGTTATGTACTAGCTGTAGCGCGTCTTTCTACAGTCGCTGATGAACTCCATGCAGCTCGGTTGCGCCACCTCGCTACCCTCATTCAGAAGGCTCCTGACGAGTTCTGGGCCATTCTACATTTTGAGCAGGGGTGGCTCCGGCTTGTTAGTGGCTCCCTTACTTGGTTGCGTTCTGCGTTGCAGAATGGGGGCCAGGACGTCGCTGACATTGTTGAGTGGTCTGGCACCCGCCACCACATTCTGCACGAACCACAGAGATGGAAGCGCAGGATTTCTGTTGCGCTCCACGTTGTCCGGCTGCGTGACGTTTGGACAGCTGAGCTTGCCCGTTTTCATGGCCTTCTACTTCGACGGCTCCTTGAAGCTGGTGCGTTCCACACCGCTGAGGTGTCAGAGTGTCCGGCCACACGGGAATTTTGCGGTTCGTGCCAAAAAGTCTTTAATGACTTGCGCTGTTGGAGCCACCATGCGTTCAAATGCCACGGTCGGCTCCGCGAAGCCCGTAAATATGCCTCCGGAACACAGTGTGGTACCTGCCTCAAGCACTTTGCCTCGAATTTCAAGTTGAGTAATCACCTCGAGTACAACCTCGGGCGCAGACCGAGATTCAGCCTGGGCGGAACAGCAAAAAGTTCCGCTCCGGCGATGACGTCATGTGCCCTGCCCTTTTTGCTGAGGGCCCGATTTGTCAGGTCCCAGCTTCTGCATACATTCCTGAGCACCTGCGTCCCGAGCCGCTGATTCAACTTGCGCTTGAGGACCTCTTCGCACATGAACATAGATTGCCCTCCTTCGCTGCCCTTCTCACCGCTGTCAAGGGCATATTCAGCCTGCACTGCCTGCAGCGGTCCAGGTTGCAGGCCACTGCCAATGCTTGGCGTTCCTCCCTGCTTGAGGAGTTGGCACATAACGAGGACATTTCTGTTACATGGGCAGCATGGCACACCAAGCTTGCTGACTTCCTGTGTCACGCTGACCTTGTTGATTGGTTAGCCGGCGACTCGACCGCGAGCGCACCGGGACACTCTACCTTTCGAGATGCCGCTAACCTACTTCCTGTGCTCTCGTTTGACTTGCTGCCTGTGCCGCCATGCACCACTACTGTGCCGGAAGCAGTTACATTTTGTGCTGCCAGCCCTGAAATCCGGGGCATTCCTGCACCCAACTTGTGGCGTTTCGAGCCTCACCAGCGATACCTTGCTGATCCCAGCTTGCTCCAGGTTCGAGAGTGGTGCGACTCTCTTGACTCTGTTGCACGCGGTTTCAGCCTCTGTGGCCTTGTTGATGGCCTCGCACCACCATCGCCTCTCCGATCCTTTCGCCAGTTGACACCTCCTCTGCATAACCTGCGACTGTTCGCAGACTTTGTCCGTGGAGTTTGTGAGATGTGGCTTGCCGGTCGGCCTGCCTTCCTCATCTGCACCAACCTTGACTGCCCTGGACTTGCAGCGGTTAGTCGACTTGCCGAGCATCGTACTGAGAAGCATGGTGTAAGGATTCTCTCCAACTTTCCCGGTGTTTGGTGAGCTCTCCTTCTCGTTTCACTCTTTAATTACCTGCAAATCTTATAGGCTGCATCCGACCTGGATCCATTGCCTCGAAAGCGAAAAGCGAAAGCGATCTGCTCCCCCCCATGATCCATAGCCGCTTCCTTTTGAAGGGAGTGGATCATGGCCGTGGGGATATATGTATATATAAATATAGGTTGCAAAACATCGCCAGGCTCCGAATGAACCAAAATTCCCAAAATCTCAGCAACTGTGGCCCCGCACTCCACATAGATATCAATGCCAGGATTTCGGGAATTTTATGGAACTTCCAGCCTGGCGATGATTTCGCATCTCACGCGCTGCAGACTTTGGGGAAATTCGAGCCTGGCGATGTTTCGGCAATGTTAGATGCTTAAACATCGCAAGCTTTCTGTTTCCCCAAAACTCTCAAACTGAACATTGATGGCCCTATAAATGCCAGGATTTGGGAAATGTGGGGAAATTCGAGCCTGGCGAGGTTGCGAGATTTCAGGCGTTGCAAACTTTGGGGAAATCCGAGCTCGGCGGCATCTTTTTGCAGAACACCGCCCGTTGCTTGAACACTGATGAATACAGGATTTCTCACAAATCATCTTCTCAGATTTATGTTGCAATACTACATTATACCTGTGATGACGAGGTGACCATGAAAAAGCTCATTTATCTTTCTCATGATGGGGGCGTGGCTCTTTACGTAGAACCCCGCTCGTTGATTGAGCAAAGATGAATAAAGATTGAATAAAGGACTTCTCACAATTCATCATCATGCATAAATCAATGTTCCTATACTTTCTTTGTACCTGTGATGAAGTCAAAAAGCTCTGTTATCCTTTCTCATGGTGTGGACGTGGCTTTCAGCTTTCTCAATGTTGAAAAACAGAGGAAGGTGGAAACACTTCTATTTCTCACTACGCTTTAGCGAAAGCAATAAAACATTTGCTCTACATCATGCGCAAATTGATCTTAACTAGAACTGTGAAATTGTTCGGCGAGAGCAGCGTTAGTACCGTTAGTAGCTGAAGCACGTTAAGACTCACGTATGTAATGGAACGGAAACAGCCACGTCTATCTTTTCTTACACTTTGTCATAAAGGAGCTATCACCTCATCTGCTGGATCACAAAACTACGATCGCTGTGAGGACATGACCCTGTCATGTTGCATTGGGATGGAGGGAGCTTCACATTTGTTCCTAACAGGGAAGGCGACCGATCCCTAATAGAAAGGTTCTGAACTAAGAGTTCTCTTGCAGGAGCCAGAGCTTTATCTTTGTTTAACGGATAGATAGACTTCACTTCTGTTCAGTGTTGCTGTTAGTCGGTCAGACATACCATTGTTATCTTTGCTCTCACTAGGAGTTGTTCTTATCCCTTATGGCATGAAGAGAAGAGCAGCTTTTCTATTCAGTTGGTACATCTTAAGAAGTTCGACAAAATTTAAATGATGAGCAAATGCGTTGAAAGCCTGACGGAGCTACCCTCTTGACGCAACATAAACAGACATTTCATGTCTCTTACAGGGATTGGAAAGCAAAATCTTTATAGTCGTTGGCAGAGAGAAACTCTTTCATTTGCAGCCACCCACTGATAAAGATGAAAAAGATTTCTTATTGTTTTTTGTGGTGGTTCTCTGCAATATCGAGAACCAAGCGGTAGGCACGCAATACGGAGGAGCGGGAAGCTGAATCCGTTTTAGGGTTCAGGTGGTTTTACATCACACAAATATGTAAAATAAGGAGTGGTTAGTAACGGTGAAGTGGAGAAATCACTGTGAATACCGATTGCTTTTTTAGTTGGGAAAGACATACAGAGATTGGGAGACCAGTCGGCGAGAAGGTGGTTTGGATCATGCAAAAAATCGCTTGCCAGGTGGTGGCATACCATTCCAGCGGCAGCCGCATGTCTGGAGCCCCTCATCCAAAGAAGCATTTCACATCTGCGCTGTGTCTGAGCAACACGCAGCAATGTGCAAACCCTGGTCGCGACCGAGGCTACATGTACTCCACTGCAAGGTGGAAGTGCAAGTGTCAGGTTTGGTGTTGTCCTAGGTCCCGATTGGCCGGTTTGCACGTTGCGCGCCGTGGGGCGAAGCGAAGCTCAGATAGGGAGCGTTCTTCGTATCTTTTCCAGAAATGCGAAGCAACGAAGCACTGCATCAGAACGCCAAGCGAAGCGCAGTGCATAACAGCATCAGGCAAAGCACAGAGCTTCAGTGCTACAACAGCGCATTTTGACAGGCTTGCCGCAAGAAAGGGCTTGATTTGCACTGGCTTATGGCCTGACACCCTGCAGGGGAAACCAGGTGTGCGAGGCCACCGGCCGCGTTCTGCAAGAGGCAAGGCATGGATCTGAGAAGACTCTAACAAGCGAGATCAAGCATCCTGTTGCGGTTTCAGAGAAGCATTTCTAAGGGCTCTGCACCGACGTCCTTTTCGGGAACCCTGCCTGCAACACTTGCTATGAAGCGGTCGCATGTTCGGAACGGCAGCACTGAGGATATGGTGTCGGATTGCCCTTGTCGCGCCTCTATGCTGAGCAACTCGGCAGCTGGTGAACGCGGTTCAAGTGTGCTGAAGATTGTTAAAGTCGAGACGATGCGCTTGAACTCCTGTTGACGCGAACGAACCCATGCCGGAAGCAGAGGCTCTCGATGGCTCTAGGAATGCTGGAGCGTTGCAGATGCTCTGATTCTGGTGTTCAGGTACTTGGGTGGTTCGCTGCATTTGATGCACCTTGGTCAGAACATTGCTTAGCCGAGGCATGCCGAGGCTGTACTCCACAGGCAAGTGAAGCTGCAGTAGAACATAGTAGAACAACAACCCGTGTTTGCAATCGCAAACAGAAAAACAAACGAGCACGTGTTTCGCGTCATCTCACGCGTGTGCTTCACACTGCGGGCCAGGTCGATGCCCAACTTCGGCACCCACGCCTACGTTTTTCTGCAGCAAAGCTCTGACCGAGCCGAAGCGTTGCCCACTTACGATCCTTGGCTATGGCTTGGCCAGCCCCCAAAGCCCGAAAAGGGCAAAGGAACGAACAACAGGCCATGCATAGTTCCGGAATCGAGCTACTTGCATAGGCTGCCTGTTTGCGGATGCCGCTTTCCAGTTTTTGCTGCCATTCAACATGATTCAACGGAGTCTGCAGATTGGACCAACTGCTCGAATGCTCTGCGCCGAACAGCGTCACTAGGTTAAAAAGAAATTAGCACGAAGTACAAGTAGCTGCGTCGAATCTCCTGGCAAATACGTGCGAGCAGCTTGCTGAGCATTGTTTGTGGTCGGTCGACGTCCAAGGTGAATTGGCTGCGCAAACGCCGTTTGCGAGAAGACATTCTGAAGTACGTTGCTTGTCTTAACCTGCTCTTGGGCATGAGTCCAGTGGTCCTCTGACCTCTGACAAAGGAGTCGCAAGAGAAACTTGCAGCGGAGCTTCGGCGGCACGAGAAACAGACTGCATCGATATCGGTCTGAGCATCCTAAAACCACATTTAACTAAATGGTTTAAGACGCGACCGTCTCCGATCCAATTCGGCTTCCATGACTTGCGAAGAACTTATACATTGTAATTGCCGGACAAGTATGGGTTGACTCAACAATCTACACCAGGCTACGATCTTCTTCCTCGCCCGTCTCAATGGACGGCTCCCTCCCAGATAGCATCATACGAGTGTTTGCTGAGGCAATTTCTGAAGGGAGATTAAAAAGCATGGCCCAGACTCGAGCCCTAAGTGCCTACCGCCTACCTTGATTTAACTCTTTGAGTGCCCGGGGTGTAATGGAAAGGCTTGCAGTGCGTCACTGCCAAGGCAGCACGCGATTATGCAGAAGCCCTTCGCTTCAAGAGCCTGGCAGCTGAAGCCATGATCGAGCTTTCCACCTTAGAAGGCTGAGCTCCCAGTCCCAACATTGCAGACCTCAGCTTGCATGGCAAGGCCCTGACACTGAAAGAAAAGCTGTGGACATGTTCGGCTTAAAGTCTAAATCCATGACTGTGATGACCTTTTTGCGGATTAGCTAAAGCAGACTGCGATTCTGCTGTGCCGGAAGATACGTCAAAGTCGGCGTTGCAACACATGATCTGCAAAGTTGGTGCGAACGCACACTGGTCATGCACAAATCGCTGCATGCATCAGGCTCACACGACTGTATGTTGGCGCGGCCAAAGACTCGGCCGCCCACAGCATGCTGTCTGTACATACCCAGTTCGGATTTTTTCACAATCGTTTAGTGAAAGGTCTCGCAGAGCCGTAAAAGGGCACTGGATCGCTCAGGGTGTTTACAGATTGTTGTCTCAGCGAGGAGCAAAGGGGAGCTGTCCGAGCAGAGCTGGCCCAGCTGGAGGCGCAGGTCACTGCCCGCATCGGTACGGTAGAGCGGTTTTCAAGCTGACAGTGACAAGTTCCTACCGGGGTGAGACAAACTGGAACCATCACTGATCGCGCTGTTTCACTCAAGCTTTGCATTGCAACACTGCGGACGGCTAGCGTATGGAGTTCACGCTACAGTGCCTGGGAGTTCCTGGGAGGCCCACAAATTGGAATGCCAAGGCGGGGGCTCTTCCTACCGTGCATCATGTGCCTCCGGGTGCGAGTTAGAACAGCAGAATCCACATTGCCAGCCAGAGTCCAGAGCCGAGGTGTGGACAATGTGTACACAAATGATCTGGACAGTGGCAAGGCCGCCAGCCCAAAAGCATCTGAACATATCCAACTCTAGTTTGGGATCGGCTGACCATGACTCGAGCATCGTGAAACGGGCGTAGCCGGTCTTTCGGTGGTGTCAAGCTTCTTAAGACCAGAGCAAACACTGAAAAGGATGGTTAACCCAGCTTTTGGTGACATCTGTTGACACCTGGCATGCGAGGCCACAGGTCAAGTCGGTTGCTGTGCATGTCAAGCTTTGTGCAGTTTTGTCTTGACACTCGCAGTGCATACGTTTTCTCGAGATACCATGGGTTACAAGCCTCAGCACGAGGAAATCGACAACACAGAAGCCTTGCTTTTTTGCGCATTCTGCTTTCTGCTCCCTGGTCTCGCAGTTTGTTTAGGTGGGTTTGCTCGCTGTTTTTGACTTTATTGTTGTGCTTTTCCTCGCATACTTTTGAGAATTGAACAAACGTAATCCCCAACCTTAATCCCTGAACTTCTTCAAGAAATCTGCCGGTCTGTGACACGGCTAATGATGTTTACCACTTGCAATTCCACCGAAACTTGTGCGTTCCAACCCTGGCAACACACTAGGTGTTGGCGGCCAGGAGCAGATTTGCTACAAGTAACATAAACAAATAGCAAAATTCGGCACGAGTCCAGCAGGACCAACCATAATGACATCGTTCCTAACGGGAAATACCGCAACAAAGCCCGTCAACGTTCGCTTGGGCGCAGTGTACTTCACTGATGGGCTGAGCTGCACCTCATCCTTAGACTGAGGTACCAGACCAAGCAGTCTGGACGACCGCTCTGTTGCCAGTGGGTTTAGGATGCCTGGTGCAGAGCTGCCTCCACAATTAATTGGGGTTTGAGCATCCTTTCCTGTTCCTCCTTCATCTCTGTTTGATCTTCCTTCGGTCCGTGCCCACGTTCCGTCTGAGGGCAGAGGCGTGGCAGAAAAACTGCACTGCAGCTTTGGCTTCGGATCAAAGCCGCCGAGCGATTCGGACCTTTAGGAGAGGATGTCAGTGGCTGCTTCCGCCTTTTGAGCAGGCATACAGCAGCGTATTGCGAGAGACGTCGCTTGCGTTCCTGTACTGGATCGTGGCTGATTGTATTCTGTGCTATCTGCGACCTCTTCGTCAGTTCCTTGGCATGTTCGAAATCAGCACGCTCTCATGACGACCACCCAAGTCAAAACAACGAGCCTACCAGCTTCACTTCGCATCCAACGGCTCCGACGCGGGGACGGTATCATGTTCTTGATATTCCCAGTGATTGACCTTGACATACCTAGACCAGATCTTCCTCGTCCAGTGTGGCACAGCTTTGTGGGGCCGTTTGCAGAACTGGCACTGCGTTACGGAAAGTCTCAAGTCTGCGTTCCGTGTTGCGGTTGGCCTTTCACCTGTTGGTTGTCTGCCAGCTCAGAAGGTGCGAAGATCGTAAATGTACTCGCCGATCTGACAGCACTGCTTTCGGCACTCGGCTTTCGGATGACCCAGGCTGTATACGGTATTGCACGATGAAAGAAGGATGATCCGATCAAACAGTCGCACCTGCAAAGGACATCTTGTGGCGTCAAGTCGTAGATATATTATATATGATTCATATTCGCTGTTGTGTTTTCGCATTATCAAGCAACGTTGCTTCATTCTGCGAATGCAATACTTGGCGGCCCGCTGGGGTTATTACGTAGGTATGGTGGTTATTAAGTACATAGACATGTTATATGAAATAGACAAGTGCAAATAAGCAAGATATATAAACGTGATAAGTGTACTTATGTATCTAAGTTAGCATAAATAGCTAAGTGTACTTAGCTCACTTATAAGTGTATCATAACTGCAAAATGTAAGCACTTGCACAAGGCAGGGCCACGGGCTCGCCGTGCAGTGCATGCAGCAAACTCACACGAAAGTTCATGCATGCAGGCGAAGCTGCAATCTTTTTTAGCAGCTCCATGGCCATTCACGGCACGATCCTGACCTTGTCATGCCCCTCCCTGCGGAAGATGCATGCCGAGCGAACACTGGAAACCTTCACAAAAAGCGGGTTTTCCGCGACAGCAAAGACATTGCGGCCCATCGCTTCGTAGATACTGACTATGCACCAGTGCTCGCCATGCAGTCGGAAGTTGAGCCACAGCTCCCCCACGACATCACCATGCATCACCACCACATCTCCTCGTGCAATGGTTGTGCCAGGCTTGATGCAGCACTTTTGGCTCGGGTGCACATCTGCATCGGCGATGCCGAATACCTTGAGCAGCTCATGCTTTAGGATTGGCTCTGCAGCTTTGTCCCTGCCAACCAGTGCAGGGCCATTGTCCAAGCTCAAGTCGGCATAGTCCTGGAAATGGTCGAACCAGATGTCGTGAGCCACACTGGCCTCGAAGGCCAGCTGGGAGGAATGCAGCTGGTCGCCGATTCTTTTGATATGTTTATGCTTCCGCTCGTGAGTGAAGCATGCCACCAACTGGTCGAATTTCTTCAGCATGAAGGGTAAATGCATCGTCATGTGAAACTTGGGGGTGATCGGCCCTCCCCCGTATGTTCTGACGAAGTGCTCGCAATGCGTTTGGATCAAGGTTTGCAGCTTCCCTGCCTGCAACCGTGTCTCGCCCCTGTTTGCTTGGGCGAGATAGTCCAGCACAGCACACAGATGCGAGTAACTTCTGGCCTCCTCTGTCATCCTTGCCACGATTTCTGGTGTGGACATGAAGAACAATCGCAGCAAGGGATAGAAACACAAGCACGTGCTGGCTGCAGCCTTGAAGTCGCCTGGACTGATCTTCTTGGAAGTGAACATGCTCATGACCTCCTTTTTCTTCCAGGCATCAGCTTTGGGAAATTGCAGGCCATCACAGAAGTCGTGCAGCTGTGTGCTCGGAATCTTAACAGCCACCATTCGCTCCAGGATGCAATTTACTTCTGCATGAGCTACTCCATGCACTAAATAGATGTGCATCCAGTCGAACATGCAACTGGATGCTCCCAGGCATCGGGTTGCGAGAAGGCCAAACTGATTGGTGTTCAAGCCCATGGCTTGTTCAAGTTCGGCCAGCTTCGCATTCGATAGCTTCGTGCTTTGGTCCACGAGGTGTTCTGCAGCCTTGAACAAAGCCTCGTCACTCCGCATTCTGAAGCGGGCCACGTCTGTGCTGCAGATCGTCAGCAAATCGTCGGAGTCCCCTTCTGTCCGCTTGCTGACAACATTGGCACAAAAAGTGCATGGGACTGTGCCCGATGCACCTTTCGTGTCTAGCATGTGCTTGAGGGCGCTTTCGTCTGCTAGCAGAACAGTTGGCTTGCCGAAGAACATTCGGCTGTCCTCGGCTATATATAGGAACCATTGAATATCGAAACTCTTGCAAAGCAAAATACAATATCACAGTATCGAATAGATATAATGAAATGCACTCCAAGCCTCGTGTCCGGGAAAAGAAAGAAGGATGCCGCTCTCCAAATTGTGCACACCACGGAATGAATGTTGCACAAGCCTGGCTGTCACTGCTGACAGCCCTCCTTCTACAAGTTTCACCAGATTGCTCCGGATCATGAGCAAAGGCATCCAAAGCTCTTCGTAGAAAAGATGGTCTTGGCCGTATTCAAGCCATGCCATATACCAGACCTGAATTTTCCTGCTGTTGTTTCCCTTCAGCTGATTGCCGGGTGCAACTTCATCATTATAGATTGCGGCCCGCCAAGCTTCGTTGGGCGACCGGCACGGGCACTCTTG